CACTTGTATTAAGAGTTGTATTAAGTTCACTGTTGTTTGAATGGTCTCTATTGTGTTGCTGTTAGCAGTCGAATGAGTGCAGGATCCCGTTGAGTAAATGATACTGAGAAGCAACAGCGCGACGAGGTTTTATATTTAATAACTGCAGTGGTAGTTACGCCCCATAAACAAATGAATGTTTGAGATTTTGCTAAAATGATTCAGTTTATTTCTTTAAAACCCTAAAAATTAACTTTAGTTTCTTATTCTGCGACTCCTAGTTTCGGGAGAGGTATATCTGGAATATTGATTGTACCATTATCGTTTTCTCGCTTGCCGAAGTACATCATGGAATGTCCTGCTCTTTTTCCGAAGTACATCATGTTGTGACCATCAGCAGCTCTTTTACCGAAATACATCATGGAATGTCCTGGATTTTTCTCTCCCTCCCTCCTGCCGAATCGCATAAAATTGTGTGTCTCCTGAGGAATTCTCCTCTTTCCGAATCTCATGATAGTGTGACCCCTCTTGTAAGAGTTGTCATCCCCCTGTAAGAAATGAAGCAGGCTGTCATCTTCTCGTTTTCCCATGAACAGGAATCTGTGACGGGGATCTTCCCTCTTTTCAACTGAAGGCCTCTTCCCAAATCTCATGATATTGTGTTGACGTTTTCCAGAGGCAAGCATTGGCAGGGACGATGCATCATCCAGGGCTAGAAAGAAAAAAACAAATAATTTAGTCAATAAATTTTTGCTTACCAAGTGCGAAAAAAAAGCATACATTTAGCTTTTATGGATACAAATATTTTCGAAGCTATAAATGAATGGTTAGGTGAAAAATGAAACCACTCCTTGAAAATTTGCAAACTGCTGAAAGAAACGCTGTCAAAATCGGTGTTCCCCGTTTTAAAATTATAACCGAATTTACTGTGAATGATGTTACTGTGAATGACCCCAAATGAGTGATTTTTATGGTCAAGTGCCATTGTCCAGTATGCATTTAACCGCTGTTGTTTCGCCTAATCTATCCTCAGCAGATATTACAACATCGAATAAATAAATTAGTATAAAATCGGATGTAACAAATATGTTGGACATTTACTGGTGAAATTAGGCATTATCTTCATTTCGGTCATTCACTGTAATATATATATATATACTTGAACCTCGATTTAACGTACTTTTGTTTAACGAATTCTCCGATTTAACGAATATTTTTTTCTGTCCCGACAAAAGAGGGTTCTGAAATGCTCTCCTTCAACGATTTTTTAACTTTGATTTAACGAACAACAATCGCTGGAAAAAAATTCGCTCATGAAACCAAAACTTTGAATTTTTCGTATATAATATGCATCTATTAAGTTTTAAAAGTAAGTAGTATTAAAGAATTAAGATTATTTTAAAGTTGATTTCCAAATGTATAACTTATAATTTTTAAGCTCATAGTAAACAATAATTTAATATCTATATCTAAGGGTATTTTGCATTGCTATTTTTATATCATACTCTGTTATTCGTTAATTAAAAAATTGATATTCAATTTAACGAATTGATTCGATTTGACAAACTGATTTGTCTGATATATATATAGATATATATATAAATGCAGTATATATCCAATGTTATATACTGTATTCTTTTTCAGATTGTTGTTGTTAGTAATATTCAAAGATACTTAAGAAGTCATGTAATGCTATATCAAATTCGTTTCTATTCAAATCTAAGGCATACAAGTCATTGTCAACTAAAATTATTGGATGTCAACTAAAATTTAGGATAAGCATTAAATATTATTATATTTATTTATTATTCATTTATTTTTTGTTTTATTATTCATGTTTATCATTGTAAATTCTCATCTTCTTTTGTTTTCAAACTGGAAATTGTTTTGTATCCTTTTGTTGATCAATAAATTTTCACCTCGGATGCCACCGCTAGGGGGCGGGACGGGGCTGAGCTTTGAATATATATATATATAAATAGAAAGAGAGAATTAACAAACAATGCTAACATTCACGGAGGCTCTCAAATGACTACCTCTTAAATTTAGTAAGGTATCTCCTTTCCATGGTGCGACTTCGAAAGCTTTTAACTTTTATATTGTTCTTCGAAATGCGATATTCTAAATGGAAATGCATTAATGTATCGCGTTTAACAGTCATTAGATATTTCAATTTAGGTCACTTAATTGAAAGATTCAAGTATAGAATCGCATATTTCACCGAAACTATTGGTTCCTGTTGAGAGTATTTAATTAAATTATTTTAATTGAAAAGACCATGAAATATTCAATTTCAATTTTGTACAATTTGAAAAGGATGGATCGATCTTGACACTAAATCTGAAATGTTTCTATCATTTTGAGCAACATGATTACATAAAGTACAGAGCATAAAATGTGAGGCTTTCGCAAAATGAATGAGTAAATAAAAAAAAAAGTACATTTCAAGATGTTTTATCTTAATCCAACATTATATAGATACATTAGTTTTTCTTTAACATCAATAACATCAGTAGGAGTTTATTCAATTCCCACTATTTATATATCTTGTTCAAGTTTTTCAATCTCAATAAAATATTTATTATTATCCACTCAAGTTCAAATAAATTTTTTTAAAATTATAGTGGATAACACTTGATGTTAATACAGTTTTTTCAAATATTAATTCATTCATTAAATTTAATTAATTCATTTTAGTTTTATGCGGGAGAAAAGTTTTCCTCTTATATAAGATATTTAGCAAGATGTAAATTTAAGAATAAATACCGTCGGTGGCGAAGCGTGCAGATCGCTGGAAAAATTTTTTCTTTTTTGCCAACTTAATATTGTGATTCTGTCACATGTATATTAATTGTGATTATTTAATAAGAAAGTAACGAAAATAAAATTTTTATTTGTTGACCTGAGTAGAAATTGACTTTTCATTATTCCTTCAATTTGGTATCAGGAGATTAGATCATACCACTATAACATCCGGCCGTTTCTCTTGAAATGTGTGGACAAGCATTGTCTTGTAACAAAAAGCCATTAAGATGGTTTTCATTAATGATGTCAATAGAACGAATTAACAGTGCAGTTATTTTTAATAAGCTAAGTAATTGGGTACTTGCACTTAAAGAAGACAACGTATACCCACACATGTGACCTGTGACGTTATCGCCAGCTGTTGTTTAGAATTAAAATGGCGTGTTAAAGTTGAGCTCAACATAAGTTAGAATATTAATTAACGTTAAGTTAATTGAATACATAGCCGTATCGAATTTATTGAAATATAATTCTTTTTCGTCTAAGTTTTTTACTTAGATTTATTATTTGTATTTTCATGTAACCGTGATACATTTTTGTTTTATGTACCTGGCAACTTCGATGCATAATAAGTCAGTCTATGTTCCACATGGTTTTGTGCCTGTCTTTGTGTTAAGTCTGTGTGTATATATATTGAAAGAACTTAATTCTTTGTGAAAGAATATAGTCACTTAAGAGAACTGATATTTGATGGGCTTGGCTTACTCGAAATAGAAGTGAAAGAGTAGTTGCTAACGTAAACAAATGCCATTTTTCAACAACCAATCAGGATAGAGGTACCCAGACTACGTCACTTGCAGGCATCCCATTGACAGGTTCCTGGACTCCATTGAATTCGTTCCTTATTTTTTAGATGTTTTCTTTATTTCATGCCAAAAATTGTAGCTATTCTCTCTCCAGTACTTTTCATCACTATTCGGACGTCATGAATATTCACGCTCATTAAAATTTAGAATTTATTTCTATATCATTATTGCTGGGGCATAATACTTCACTCAAAATTTCTTTTGAAATCAAATATATTTCTAGACAAAAAATTTTGATTTGCAAAGAATAATTATATTCAGTAGTTTATTAGGAAAAATGATTAATGGGAGATCATCGAAGAATCGCCAAAAAAGGAAAACTTTAGAAGCCGTGCTATTTCTATTTTTTTGATTCTTTTAAGAAATTGAATAGAATTATCGGAATTTTAAAAAGAACCAAGGGATCCAGTCAGAAAAAGATCATTGATACATATTAGGGTGGTTGACACGTCACCTCAATTGTGACGTGTCAACCGTGCCTTTTCTTTGTTTCCAGATAGGTTCTTAACAAATGACTTTTTTATTTGATAACAGCACGATTGACAGAAGCATTTTATTGGCGATATAGAATTTTGTCCCACAAGAAACTATATTAAAAATGTTTTGCCTGGGGGGCAATTTGAATACACGGCTTTATCATTACATTGCCCCAAAAGACCTTGATTTATAATAAATAGTAATACTTTAGTTTCTAAGGTACAAGTTACATTTTTGGTTCACTAAATGCTGAGTTTCTTTTTGTCTCTAATGGCGCTTAAGAAGAAAAGTATACGTAAAAAAAAACTGATAACAGCAATGAGAAAAATCGACAATGAGTATAGTTGGGGCTGGAGGGAGGGTCGTAAGACTGGATAGCTAACATTTGAAGGCATGTTGGAGCTAAACTGTTCGAATGCCAGATTTAGCAAGGTATTCATTGTTTAGTGGAGTACATTCCTGAAAAGAATATATCATGCCTGTAAAGTACTACTTTTTTTAAAAATAATTTTTTTTTCTAGAAAACTTCAAATTACATGCTCTTGCTCCACTTGTTGGATAAAACCGGGTACACACTTTAATCCATTAAAAAAATTTCCGTCAAAAAAGTAGAGGAAATTTCTATAACAATTTAAGAAATTTATGCATGCAATTTATCTGTGATGCAGAGTTGCCACAGTAAAAAATGAACAAAAATAGTTGCTTTTAGTAGCCTCAAGCATGAAAATAGTTGCCTAACAGAAACAAAAATGTATCAAAAATAGTAGCTCTATAACTAAAATTATAGCTTAATTGTCAAATACTACTATTAGGACTGGGTGATGTCAGAAATTTTAAATCGTGATACATCGCGATAGAGCGATGCATCGCAATTTAGAATACGTTCAAAAATTACCTATGGGAAATCTTTAAATTAATCAAAAATAAATAAAAAGAAATAAATCTAGTACAAAAGAAAATATTAATTCTAAACATATTCTACTATGACATCAATATCATTGCTTAATTTTTTCAATTAAATTAATAAAGAAGTCAAAGTAAAAGCAAACCCAAGCTTTATTTCATTTTTCTTAAATTAAAAATGATTTAAGATTTATTGGTTTAAAAATAATAATACTGTAACAAATTATTTTACATACATGCATTAAAAATTAAAAGAAATAAAAACGAAAGTGGAAAACAAACCAAAGAAATGTTCACCTTAGAATTTATTTTTTTTATTTATTTATTATTTGTTGAAAAAAAAACATGCTTTTGAAACATCATTAGACCCTTTTTTATTTACTTATTTAAAATAATAAAAAGTAGTATTAACTAATGGTCAAATTCTGTACTTAATAAATGTAAAAATATTTTTACTTATTTATTATTATTTTCATTTTTGAAAATAAAATCGACTAAAGATTTATTTGTTTAAAAATGATACTGAATATCTAACAAATTATAAAACAAACAAGTATTGAAAGAATTTTAATTGAAATTTTAAAAAAAATACTTTAAGTACTAATGTTAAATTATTAAAAACCTCAAAACATTACTAAACTTTCTATTTAATTTTTAAAAAAAATTGTTTTAACTAATAGCCAAATTTTTTTAAAAAACTTTGTTTTCATTTTCTCAAAAAGCAAATTAAATAAAGGTAAGCTTTGTTTTAATTTTTTTATAATTAAAAACGACTGAGCATTTATGGGTTGAAAAACAATCAAATTATTATACTTACCTGCATTTAATAAATTAAAAAAAACTAACTTTTTATAAATACAAAATACCCCTATTAAATGGTATCGCTTAAAATAAACAATAATTGAAAAAAATCAATGATTTGATCTATTGAGTTCAGAACGAAAATTTAAGATAACAGCGATTGTGCAGCAATCGCAAAGTAACAGTAGGTCTACTAAAAATAATTGACAAGAATCGTTATGAAATAATGCAGAACGAAACGATCGCTGCAAAAGTCCCACTGAAAATAATTTACAAGAAACCAGACAATTATTTCTGACGAAATAAAATGCACAACGATCGCAAAATGACTTAAGTCCCATTGAAAATAATCTTCAAAAAACGCAAAATCCCAAAGACAAAAATGGACATAAAGAAACTAATTGCGTTCTATATTGCAACGCTGATCCTCGCACGAAACCGGAAGTTCTCTGCAGCTAGACGAAATCAAAATCGTCTTCGTTAGTGCGGTAACAGCGTTAGCCTAGTCAAGGATCCTTGCATATTAAATCGTTAAACCGCGATTGTAACCTTATTCCGGTGGCTTAAATCAGATTTCTGATGCATCGCCTAAAACGAAAGTCACTACATCGGCCTACTGATATATGCGTTAAATTGATATTTCGCGATACATCGATTTATCGCCCAGTCCTAACTATGCTCCAATTAAAAAAAAGTTTTGTTCAAATATAAAAGGTATACATATTAGAAAATAGGTACCTAAATAAAAGTCGAATTAGAATTAAATATGAATGTCAATAGAAGGAATAAACAATTAAAAATAGCAAAACTGCCCCTCAGCGAGAACATATAACAAGTACTTTATTAAATCCAATGGAAATTTAAATTTTTGGCTCTTTGGACATAAATGATTGTATAAAAGTTTGCTTTCTGAAAAGTAACGTTCATTTTTGCGAAAAAACTTCGCCAAGAGTAAAAAAAAGTCTCCTAATAGTTGCCTATTCCTGAAAATAGTTGCTTTTTTAGCCTTTTCATGCAGAAAAAGTCGCCTAAGGCTGAAAATAGTAGCAATAGTTGCATTTTAGTAGCCTGTGGCAACCCTGTGATGTAGTCAAAACTGTACTTATGGGAGAAAGAGAGGGTTCGAGCAAAATTTCTTTCAAAATTTATACTAATGTGTGTGATTTATCTGTGATGCAGTCAAGGCGGTACTTATGGGAGATTGCTATATAATGGCGGAGAAAATACAATTCTGCATAAGAGGTCCACAAATTCTGCGAAATATGAAAATTAGACATTTTGTTCTCTGAGGAAGGGGCCCTCAATAAATTTTGTTCTGGTGCTCATAAAAATTGTTACTGTTGGGATTTTATTTATTGTTGTAATATACATATTATCACTAATGTATTTTTAATTTAATATTACGGCAAACCGTGTAATAATACATTAACTGCAAGCTTTTAGTATACTGAAAAAATAAACAAAACAAACGAATTATTATTTTTTTAAAATCTAATACCCATGCGAAATATTCTAGAACCATCTATACATTGCTTGAGACTTAAATAAAGAGATAAATATGCTTACCTGTTGGTGATTCATCACTTTGAACTAAGATAAATGTTGTCAAATATATAGCTAATATTAGGCAAATCGCCATCTGTAAAAGAAAAGAAAACGTATTGTTTATACAAGTTGAATATATATTTAATGAACAATGAATGAAAATTATCTCTTCAACCGCGAATCATCATATAAAAACTTAGGGGAATTAGGAGAAAATTAGGAGAAACATCAGTGTTCGAAGAACCGGTTAAATGCTTATTAGGCAATGTCACTTGACATAACAGAACATTTATGCAGGACATACCGGACAAATGCATACCGGGCGGTGGCACTTAATTAGACCTAGTATATAATTCGGACATTTACCAAAGAGACTGTGTGATAGACAACATGCACCGGTAGAAGTCAACAACCACCTATTTCTGTCATTCATAGTAACATACTCACTTCAATCTCAACAGTTCTAAATGTCCTTCCACCGTAAGAAGACGATTAATTATTGGACAGTTCAATGTGGCTCAGTGCCTAAAGAATGCTCAAAGCTTTTTCACTTCTTACCATAAACATCTTATACACATTTCCATATAACCCCTATTTTATCGAATGAACTCATATACCGGGATTTGATCTTTAATCGCCCTTTTATTATCGCAGCACTTACGAACCTGTGAACCAATTTTCTCACTCAACAATTTTTTAACACAATTTTGTATAGATAAATGGCTAAGAGACAGTGAAAAATCTTTCCGATATAATTTAATAATTTCTCTATTTAATTTATACATTATAATTTATCCATTTAATAATTATTCCATATTTAATAAAGAGTTTGTGCCTTAAAACGAACTACATGCTGTATACTTTTAAAAAATACCGATACAGTTACACAGTTTGACAACGCTGAAATTGTTACGATAATTTAACGATCTTTTAAGTGTCCCCCTCCCCTTTTAGGGTGCTTAAGGTAAAGACTCTTTATTTTATTTAGTGACACAAAACAAACTAACGAAGCATCTCTTTCATTCCTTTTAAGTTCTAAAATAAATCTCATATATTTTTTTTCATTATAAAAGATATCTACTTTTATATGTTTTAAATGTTATAATGGGTTCGTTAATGAACTATTTATTAAGAGTTCATTTAACGAATTGTTATTCCTTTTTTTAATATTTATTATTTTTTTTTTCATGCCTTTGGTGTTTGCATTTCGCACTCTAGAAAATAGAAAGTGAAGAAAGAAAGAAAGTGAATTTTCCAGGTTAATTGCGCTGCAATAATTTTTTTCCAGTGAAACCTTATGGGCGAGGCTGAAAAATATTAGTTTTTATTTTCAATTCTGATGCAACGGCTAAGAACTTTATCTTCGACGTGTCTTTCCAATAACTGTTCTTATTTCATTTTCTTTTTTTTATTTAAGACGTTTGAAGAATGAAAACGTCATTTCGCGCCATCTAAAGAAGAATGCCCGGATGATGGAAAAGAGCGATCGGGTGCAGGGTGTTTGACAAATTACCTCTTCCCCTGACTTCGAACATTTGTTCCATAAAAGGATTTGAAAAATAGCGACAAAAGGGATCTATTAAAGAGGAAAACACTTTTCTTTTTTTCATTCCTTTCGAATAACAATTATTTTGGATAATCCTTTGTAAGTTTGTTTATTTATTCCTCCTCATTTTAGTACGGATGAAATAAAAAAACAATCTCATTTGTTATGAAATCATTTTTGCTTTAAAAAACCTTAGTAAATGTCGTTATTTTTTTAAGTATGCAGTCAAATTATTTCATAATTCTTGTGTGAAACTTTGAAAAACACTATTATTGGTGACAAAATTATACCTAAAATAAACAATTGTTTTTAACTATTCGTATTTATGAAACTTATCATTAATCAATTTGGAATTAAAAAACTTCAAACAATTGAAGCAAATATTCCCTTTTTTACATCTGAGAAATTCGGATCATTTCCTAAAGAAAGAACACTAAACACTTAATCTATAGGGGAGAGTGGGGTCAAATGTAACATTTTTTACTTAACTATTTTTAACTAACAAAAAATCCAATATATTATTAGTATTAATTGACTGACGAGTAAAGTAGACTATCCTCTACTAGAAAAAAAATAAATACCTGATTTTAAATATTATTATATTAGTTATTAACAATTTTTGACAGTCGTGCACTTGTTACAATTGTCCCCACTTACGGGGTCAATTGTAACAGTTCATAAATTCAACTAAAACATAGTTAATTATACATATTATCATAGTTGTGATATATTTTTTTATTGATCAAAATAGTAGTGATATTTTAGGAGTAAAAATAATAATGAGCAGAGACCTAAAGGGTTAAACTTTTAACTTTAAGGGGTTAAAAATTTTAATTTATGCTGTGAAAGGTGACAAATAAAATAATGCACATGCAACATAATATAAATGATATAGGAAACTATTGGTGGTTCTTAAAGAGTTAAGTAATGGTTTGTAAACATAAGATTATTTATTTTCAGCTGTTACAATCGTCCCTTTACTTATTGTTACAATTGTCCCCAAGACGCCATTTCAGCTTCATTTGTTAAAAACAATGCTAGTTAATTAGCAAAACTAATCTTTTTTTTATTGAAATGTTAATTAAGGTGTCCACTTACATATTCGGTTACTAATTTTTATTTGTTTAAACAAAATTACTTTGTTACAATATAATATTCTAATACCAAAAAAAGTACTTGCGTGGCGTGAAAATATCTTTTGTGATGTAACTCTTTCAAAAGTACATAAAAATGGTTGCCATCAGGGGTGTACGTGTAGATTTATTAAATGCACCTTGTGCGCCACCTAGGAACCAAATCTAGAACCCGACACTCGAAATTTTTGCTCTGTTACAATCGTACCCTGTTACAATTGACCCCACTCTCCCCTACCTTTTTTTACCATAGACTGTCAAATGAACGGACTTTGTTTCTTGAATGAATGTATGAAATATGGATGTTAGGAAGGAAATAAACTAAAAAAGCTTCTTTAAGCAAAATTGCATATTGCTAATTTTCATGTATTACAAAAACAAAGAATAAGAATTTTTAATTCATTGCTCAAAGCATTTTTTATTGATGTACAGAGTATTTATTATTCATGTACAGGGTGTTTCCGTTGTACATTTTCCGCAAATATATTTCTTTTCCTTCTAATTATCATTATTTCTATAATTTTTATAATTCTTAAAATTTAATTTTAAGAATTATCTTGAATTATATTAAAATTGAATTATATTAAGAATTATAATTCATACAATTATTACAATTATTTTTATAATTATTCTTATAATTAATATTATATCTTCTAAGAAGAACTTGTGCTGTCGTGATTGTTTCAACATTTTTCTGGTTAAAAACTAACAGTTAAGTAAGAAATGAAGTTAGGTTTAACAAAATAAAATATATGCTACTTACCAAAACATTTAGTTTTGTATTACTTTTGTATTTTAGTTAGTATTACTTTTATATTTTAGTTAGTATTACTTTTGTATTTTAGTTAGTATTACTTTTTCTTACATAAAAATGCCAATCTAAAATGTTAGGTACTTTCTTGAAATTTGAATTCACAGTTATTCTGATTGAACTCATTACGCAACAGTCTTTGCTGAAATGTGCAACTCATCGAATGCAATACGTTGAACACGCATTGCATCGTCATTTCTGATCCGATAACCTTATAACGCAACGAATTGTTCTCCCGTCAAATGACCGGTTGTGTTAGAAATATGTATGCGACAAGTATTATTCGAAGCAAACAAAATACGAAAAATAATACTAATATAATTGTTAGAAAAAAGTCATGAAGTCAAACGTGCAAAAACGATAAGGTGATAAGCGCATTTTAGATGTAAAAATTTTTAAACGGTTATTTGATCAGTTATGGTATGTTTAGTGTTAAATACCTAAAATAAAAGTAAGAGACTTCTTCCATTAATGTTAGTTGGAATTATTTTTCCACATGAATAATGACATACTCATCTTAGTCTAGGACCTGCTCAAAGGAATGTTTTTAGGGTATGTATAGAAAGTGAACACCCAGCACATTTTCGAAATATGGCGTCATCAAAGAACACCGTAAATAGCTACTATGTTCATCAATTTGTATATAATTACTATAGCCCGGATTTTGATGACCTAAAAAATCTCAACTAATTCCCTTAAAAAGTGCAAAAAATGCCTATAAAAAGTGCAAAATATGCCCTTAAAAACTGCTCTAAAAATGCGAAAATTTCGCTAAAAATGCCTTATGACATGACTTAAATAATGCAAAAATATTGAACTAAAACAATGTTTTGCTCTTTTAAATTATTATGAGCCATTTCAAAAAATATAAAGCAGTGCAATACTTGTTCTACGTTCATTAAAGTTTGAAAAATATGTTTTATATCTCAAAATAACAAAAAAGGGAAAATGTATTGACTCCAAAACATTTTCATTTTGTATAGAAACTTTAATGAATATAACAACTTCCATCTCATAATATTACTACATATCAGAATTACATTCGATTATTAAATGATTTTTGATATTTTGAAATGTAAACGAGTTTCTCTTTGCCTGAAAGTAAATTTTTATACCTGGAGAGACTTCTATCAACGTTTACTGATGTTATTGGTGCGTACTTGAAAAATACGTTCTCACTTACTGACAATTCTTCTTCAATTTGAAAAGATGTTGCTTCACCTGTCAATATCCTAGAGATTTTCTTCATTGTTTGGAAGCCAGTTTCCTTCTCCAAAACTTTGTTCAATTTAGCTTCGACACTTTGTGCAATCTTTCCCCTTGCTTTTTGCAACACTCACTACGTCAATATAATTTATTGCATCACAAAGTTCCAATTCTTGTTTCTCCAAGCTTGTAATTGTCGAGGACAAAATAGCTAAGTTAGACTTGATGAATGATAAGTTTCCTTCAATTTTATCAGAGGCCAACACGTTTTGCGCTATCGTAATTGATGCAGCATCTTCTGAATCAAGACAAATTATAAGACAAATATTTCATTTCATGTAATAAAAATGCTCCGAAAAGTAATAAAAATTGGAAAAAATTAACAAAAAACTTAAAAA